GTGGCCTCAGGCACTCTGCCACCCCTCCTTTCCCCTCCATGACTTTGCAATCCTGGAACTCCCCCGCCCCCCATTAAGCAAGTGAGTGCTTTCCACTCCAGAACCAGTTCACCCACCACTAATCCTTCTGTGCAGATCTGGGTACTGAAAGATTTGGCCCGCTAGGTGAACAGGAGATGGAAGCACCCACTGCTTAACTAAAGAAAGGAAACATCACAGCTGAAGCCCCAAGTACCCCTCCCTCTGTAAAGTAACCATGTCTTGCAGCCAGTGCTGCCTGGGCCTTGTTTTCCTACTTGTACTATGAGGACGTGTTCATGAGCAGCTGGAGCATTGTTTTACAGGCTTTCCACCTTAAGGGGGCCTGGATGCACTGAGAATGTGCTTCTGCAAATCACTTTTATCACGGTGACCAGTTCACTCATCTCTTTTGCGCAGCATTCTATTGCATGAGGATGACACTGTGTGGTTCTCCTTTTGGTGGACACTGAGAAGTTTTCCGCTGTTGCTAATAGAAACAGTGCTGGTGGGCATGGAGATGGGAGGATTACTTGAGACCAAGAATTTGAGACCAGCCTAGGCAATAGTGAGACCTCATCTCTACAAAATCAAAACAGTATCTAGGTGTGGTGGAATGCGCCTATAGTCCCAGCTACTTGGGAAGCTAAGACAGGATGACCTAAGCCCAGGAGGTCGAGGCTGCAGTGAACCATGATCATGCCACTACACTCCAGCCTGGGCAACAGAGTGAGACTCCGACTCAAAAACAAAAACAAAAACCTGGCAGAACATAGTTAGACATGGTAGTACGCACCTGTAGTCCTAGCTACTTATGAGACTGAAGTAGGAGGACTGCTTGAGCCTGGGAATTTGAGGCAGCCTTGGCAACATAGCAAGACCCTGTCTCTTAAAAACAATAAAACTGGCAGAAAATTTGGGGGGGTCTCAAATCCTGTAATCACTGCCTATTTAAAATACATGCAGGCCAGGCGCGATGGCTCATGCGAGTTGGAGTCTCGCTCCTTGGCCCAAGCTGGAGTGCAGTGGTACTCACAGCCACCCCAGGGTCGACCTGCTGGGCTCAGGCAGTCCTTCTGCCTCAGCCTTCCAAGTAGCTGGAACTACAGGCACGCGCTACCACACCCCGCTAATTTTTGATTTATTGTAGAGATGAGGTCTCCCCAACTTGCCCAGGCTGTTCTCAAACCCATGGGCTCAGACAATCCCCTCACCTTGGCCTCCCAAAGTGCTGTTATTATAGGCTTGAGCCACTGCACCCAACTAATCTTGTAATCTTGATATTAAATATGACAGATGGGAATGTGATGTTGGTCCTGACATGCCAGCAAGCAGAGTCTCAAGCAGAGTCTCAGCCTCAGCCAGCTCCTTAGCTCTACTGCACTGCCCTGCCTCTCCCAGCGGGCAGGCATTTGACAGTCAGCCTTGTCCTGTGTCCTAGCGAAGCTCCTGAGTGCCACTGCTCTCCTCAGGCAGCACATGACAGGGACAGCTCCCTTCTGTAGGGCTGGCCTTCCTACCACCTCCCTGTCTGATGGGAAGCAGCCAAAAGCTGGATTGTTTGGGTTCAGCACTCATACTGACAGCAGACCTAATGCCTGGGACCTCTTGCCTCTCTTTCTGTGACCTTGAACCACCATGCCTGGTGAAAACATGTCTTTAAAAGGCTTTTGACTGGGCGGGGTGGCTCACACCTATAATCCCAGCACTTTGAGAGGCTGAGGTGAGAGGATTGCCTTAGCCTACCAGTTCCAGACCAGCCTGGGCAACTTGGAGAGACCTCATCTCTACTATTAATAAAAAACCTAGCCAAGCATGGTGGCACTTGCCTGTGATTCTAGCTGCTTGGAAGGCTGAGGCAGAAGGATCGCCTGAGCCCAGAAGGTCAAGGCTGTGGTGGCCGTGAGCATGCCACTGCACTCCAGCCTGGGCGACAGAGTTAAGACTCCAACTCAAAAAAAAAAAAAAAAAAAAAGTTTCTCAAGAGGGCGATAATGAGCAAAAAGTTGAGAAGCACTTTTAGGATAGAGTTACTCCCATATATGCCTGTATGGCTCACATAGGCTAGCTACAAAGATATTTTTACAAGTTGGATTTTTAGAAAACTTTTACTGTCTGGGCACGATGGCTAATACCTATAATCCTAGCACTTTGGGAGACCAAGGTGAGAGAATGGCCTGAATCCACGGGTTCAAGACCAGCCTGGGCAATTTGGCCAGACCTCATCTCTACAATAAATCAAAAAAAAAAAATTTAGCTGGGCATGGTGGCATGTAGCCCAACTCTATAGCCCATTGCACTCTAGCCTGGGCTACAAAGTGAGACTCCAACTCAAAAAAAAAAAAAGAAGAAAACTTTTACAATAGGAAGTTTCAAATTTGCATAAAAGCAGGACATTAGTACAAAACTGCCACCTACTCAAAGCAACAGTAACTCGTGGCCATGTTCATTTCAGCAGTACCCCCACCTATTCCCATTCCTGATGATTTTGAAAATCTGAGCTGCCATATTTTTCACGGGTAAATAGTTCAGCATGAATCTCTCAAAAGTAAAGAGGCATTGCTGTGTTACCCAGGCTAGACTCAGACTCTGGCTCAAGCTATCCTCCCACTTCAGCCTCTCAAGTAGCTGGGAATACAGACATATACTATTGTGCCCGGCTTAAAAAGTAAAGATTTATTAAAAGACAAAGTTACAGGCCAGGCATGTTGTCTCACACCTATAATCCCAGCACTTTGGAAGGCTGAGGTGAAAGGATTGCTTGAGCCCAAGAGTTCGAGACCAGCCTAAGCAATTTGGCTCATCTCTACAAGTAATCAAGAAAAAGTAACCAAGTATGGTGGAGCATGCCTGTAGTTCCAGCTACTTGGAAGGCTGAGGTGGAAGGATCAACTGAGGCCAGCAGGTTTAGGCTGTGGTGGTGCATTCCAGCCGAGGAAACAAAGTGAGATTCCAATGTTAAAAAAAAAAAAAAAAAAAAGACAAAGTTACAATATCACCATTGTACTCACCCCAATTAAAATTATCTGATATTATCAAGTAACTTGTCAGTTTTCTAATTTCCCAGTTTTATTTATTTATTTTTTTCTGAGTCAGGGTCTCAGCTTTCCAAGTAACTGGAACTACAGGCATGTGCCACCATACGCCCAGCTAATTTCTTGATTTGTCTCATTTATATATGGATTTTTCCTCCCTCTTTTTGCTATTCCACATTTAATTGTTGAAGAAACCAGATCATTATGTCCTGTAGAGTCTTCCTGCATTTTGAATTTTGCTGATTGTCTCTGGTGTCACTAACAGTCCCCCTGTCCCCCACATATCCAGGAACCTAGTAGTTAGATCCAGAGACGTGCTTGGGTTCAGGTTTGCTGTTTTGGCAAGAGCATTATTCCATTGAGGTGGTGTTTTCTTCCGTTAGGCAGCTCTTGACATCCAGTGGCTTCTCTTTTTCACAGCAGCTGCTGTGATCATTGCTTATTTAGATCCTTTAGTTCATTGAGACTTGCAAAATGATGGCCCTGATTCTCTCATTTCATCTTCATTTATTAGCTGAAATAAATCTTTAAAAAATGAAATTTTCTTTCATTAACCATTTGATCATGCTGAGTACAGTTTATACTGGAAAGGCAGGTTAAATGGTTGATTATTTACCCTTATTTATCAGTTTCAGAATAATAAAGTGGTTCTCTGTTATCTTCTACAAGTGGCCACTGTAGTACCCCAAAGTCCTAAATCCAAGAGACCACCAAAGAGCCAGCTCCGATGCAAACACACAAGGGTCTTTTTATTCAGGCTCGAGTCTGGGCTCCCGTATGCAACCGACACAGTGATATAGGAATGAGAGCCCTGACCCAGCGCAGCAAGCAGCTTATATACACAGTTACAAGGGAGGAGAAGGAACTTTAAACTTGTTCACACATGATTGGATAGAATTGCATAAGCACGGTTACAGAGATACTGATTGGTTGATTCGCGTTCGATTTTCACGGGCGCGGCTCAGCTGCCCATGATTGACTACTAACGGCTACACGGGCAGAGTGGAGTTAGTTAAGCCATCTGGAATGTTAGATAAGCTGCGGTTTACACAGTCACTGTGACTGTGCATAAATCAGCTTGGGCATACAAGCAGGTTTGAAATAACACGGAGCCCACCAGAAGAGTGGCTTGCCCACCATAATTTAAACAGAGGAATGTTTGGAAAGGGCTTATCGCTTAACATTCACATACTGCAAACATTTTGTAACTTTACAGCCACAGTCACTACCAGGCACCCGGCGCAGTTACTACCAGGCACCCGACATATGCTTGGTCTTGTGGGGTCTGAGGTAGGGATTTATAAAATACAGTGAACGTTTCTTTCATAGCAAGTATAGTTCTTTTGAGTCTTTCAGCCACTTTTTTCTTTAGGGCTCTTAACTGAGGATCTTGACATTCTTGATGTGTTTCAATACTTTTTAGGTATTATTATTATTATTATTATTATTATTATTATTGAATACAAGTCTCACTCTCCTCACTCTTGCCCAAGGCTGGAGTACAGTGGCACACTCACGGCCACCGTAGGCTCAACCTGCTGCGCCCAGGCGATCCTTCCACCTCAGTCTTCCAAGTAGCTGGAACTACATGCATGTGCTACCATACCTGGCTAATTTTTCTTTTTTTGGTAGGGATGAGGTCTCTACAATACAGGTGTGAGCCACTGCGCCCAGCTTAGGTATTCTTATTGCTGTGGTGTCTGTGAGCATGCCACTGTCCTTCAGCCTGAGCAACAGAGTGAGACTCCCACTCAAAAAAAAGAGATTGGACCTTTGTATAATGTCGCCTACCATGTGGATTACTTGGCTTCTCACCATTCGTTTGTGCATTAATTGTATACACCCTGCTAAATGACTGATGGCAGAGACCGTGAGATGGGATGGAGCGTGGGTGGGAATGGCTGCCATGGCTGTAATGTGGCTTTGTGCTCACCTCATCCTCTGCAGGCCGTGAACCCAGGCAGGTCCCTGTTCTTGCTGTATGCCCTCAAGAGCTCACCTAGACTTGGCCTACTGTACCTCTTCCTGTTCGACTACACAGACACCTTCCTACCCTTCATCCACACCATCTGCCCCCTGCAGGAAGACAGTCCTGGGGAGGACATCATCACCAAGCTTCTGGTAGGTTCCCAGGGTGCCATGTGATGTGGTGTTGGGATCCTTGCTATAGCCTGTCACAGAAAAGCAGACAATAGCCAACCTACACTGGAATTTTGTGAGGAGAGCCTCCCCTCAAATGAATATAAAGCAGGACCTTCCCCACTCTTAATAGCCTTTTTTGTTTGCTACATGACAAAGCAAGAGGGGCTACCCTCCTTTTATTATGTTAATAAAAGAAGATTGGTCCAGAGTACCCTGGGGGGTTAGATTCAGAGCCTTCCAACCTGGTCATCTGTCTCTTAACAGGACCCCCAGGGTGTGATTATTTGTCCTCCCCCAAGGCAAGGTTAATGCCCATCCTGATGGCCTCGGAACAGTAAGCCCTTGCCCAGCTTACTGATGGGAGTTGCCACATCAGCTGACCACAGGGCCATTCACAGAGATAGCTACCCACACGGGCGTACATTCCTTCAGTTTGGCCTATGGTTTCCTTCAGAATTGTTGGTGGGCCCATTTACTGGGAGTGACTTCTCTGTGTCTAGTTAGTTGGTCATTGAAAAGGAATATCTTTTTCTTTGCTTCTCTTTGGGCCCAATCCTATGAACTGCTTGTATCAAAAAGACATATAAACGTAGGAATCATCATATATAATTCACATCAATAAATATTGAAACAGTACTTCTAAATCTCTAAAGACCTTTTTTCCCCAGTGACCCCTTGGAAACACTATAATCAAGTGCCTCCTGACTAGTGTCAGCCTTGAATGTGGTCTGCTCATTAGCACCCTTGCACAGTGTTCCTCTAATTGCCCAGCTTCCAGTTGCTACTTGCCTCCCCAGACTAGAAGTACAAAGAAACTCCGACCTTTCCATATTAACTAGTCCCAACAGCCCCTGCCTGTTCATTGAGTTAACTTTTTTTTTTGAGTTGGAGTCTCACTCTGTTTCCTAGGCTGGAGCACAGTGCCACGATCATGGTTCATGACAGCCTCAACCTCCTGAACTCAGGCAATCATTTTGCCTCAGCCTCCTGAGTAGTTGGGGCTGTAGGCACGCGCCACCACACACAGCTAATTTTTAAATTTTTTGTAGAGATGTGATCTAGCTATCCTAGACTGGTCTCAAACTCCTGGGCTCAAGCAAGCCTCCTGCTTTGGCCTCCCAAAGTGCTGAGATTATAGTCATTAGCCACCACAACCAGGCCTGGGCTAACTATTTTATTTGCTAATACTTGCAATTAAAAAGCTTTCCTGGCCAGGCACAGTGGCTCATGCCTATAATCCCATCATTTTAGAAAACCAAGGTGAGAGAATTGCCTGAGCCCACGGGTTCAAGACCAGCCTGGGCAACTTGTCCAGACTTCATCTCTACAATAAATAAAAAAATTAGCCAGGTATGGTGGCTCATGCCTGTAGTTCCAGCTACTTGGAAGGCTGAGGTGGAAGGATCGCCTGAGCCCAGCAGGTTGAGGCTGTGGTGGCCATGAGTGTGCCACTGCACTCCAGTCCGGGTGACAGAGGGAGATTCCAACTCAAAAAAAAAAAAAACTTTCCTCACCACTGCCAGAAAAAAAATTTTTTTTTTTTAGGTGAAAGTGTGTATATGTGATTTCCCTACAAATGATCATATTATACGTCAGCTAATTTAGAAAATGATTTGAGCTACCATGCAATGACGGAGGAATTGAACACAGGTTAATTTAAATTCACTTCAACCTTATTATTCTGATTTATACTTAGAGTTTTACTTCTGACTTTTCATTTATCTATTTTTTTTTTTTTTGAGTCAGTCTTACTCTGTCACCCAGACTGAAGTACAGTGGCACAGTGCTCACGGTCACCGCAGCCTCGACCTGCTGGGCTCAAGTGATCTTTCTACCTCAGCCTTCCAAGTAGCTGGAACCACAGGCATGTGCCACCACGCCCAGCTTATTTTTTGATCTATTGTAGAGATGAGGTCTGTCCAAGTTGCCTAGGCTGGTTTCGAACCCGTGGGCTCAGGCAATCCTCTCACCTTGGCCTACCAAAGTGCTAGGATTATAGTCATGAGCCACTGTGCCTGGCTTCATTTATCTAATTTAAGATTAATTATTACAAGATGAGTTGATGAACGGAAACTTCTTTTTTATTTTTATTTTTTGAGTCAGAGTCTCATTCACTCTGTTGCCCAGGCTCCTGAAGTGCAGTGGCACACTCACGGCCACCGCAACCTGCTGGGCATGAGCCACTGTGCATGGCTGCATTTTGAATTGTTGAGTGTGCATGTGTTTTGCAAAGACAGGTCTCACTATGTTGGTCAGACTGGTCTCCAACTCTTAGCCTCAAGTTGGAGTCTCACTCCGTTTCCTAGACTGGAGTACAGTGCCACTATCATGGCTCATGACTGCCTCAGCCTCCCAAAGCTCTGGGATGAAAGCATGAGCCACTACACCTGGCTGTGTGTGTGTTTTAGTAAATGTAAATCTAAACCAGGTGCAGTGGTTCATACCTATAATCCCAGCACTTCAGAAGGCCAAGACACAAGGATTGCTAGAGACCAGGAGTTTGAGACCAGCCTAGCCAACATAGGAAGACGCTATGTTCTAAAAAAATAATGAAAAATGTAGCCAAGTGTGGTGACACACACCTGGGATAATCACAGCATTTGTGTAAAAATCAATCCCCGTGGTTGTTTGTGTCTGTGTGTCCTTTTTCAAGGATCTTCGCGAGCCCACATGGAAACAGTGGAGAGAATTCCTAGTCAAATATTCCTTCCTTCCATACCAACTGATTGCTGAATTTGCTTGGGACTGGCTGGAGGTCCATTACTGGACATCACGGTTTCTCATTGTAAATGCCATGCTACTCACAGTTCTGGAATTATTCTCCTTCTGGAGAATCTGGTCAAGAAGTGAACTGAAGTAAGTGGATATGTGTGGAGGAGATGATTGGAACAACAGGAACTGGGAAAGAAACAAGCGGGGAAGGGTCCTCTTTGAAGTAGTTCTCAGACTTAAAAGGAAATAAATCTTCCCTCTACAAGACGCCTCAAACTCTGGTTTGAGGAACACTATTTAAGCAGCAAATAGGGAGATTGCCTTGTATATCTCATCTCTTTGTACTAATGTACCATTTAATTCCTGGGGAGGTGCAATGGATTTTAATAGTCAAGAAATAGGCAGGGGAGAAGAAAAGGGTCCTGTATGGAATCAGTAATCTGGAGACCAGAAGAGAGACCTGATGGGGAACTCCATGAGCATGAGGCTAATCCTGAGCTCCCACCAGCTGGAAAATAATGACTCGTCTGGATTCATGCATAAAATGGGCACATTGACTAGATAGTCTGTCAGTCAGGACTCAGGATGCAAGTGACACAAACCAACTTAAGCTGGCTTTTCTAAAAAGGAATGTGAATCGCTTGAAGCTAGGAATGTGAGGCCAGTCTGAACAAAAATAACAAGACCCTGTCTTTACAAAAAAAAATTAAAAAGGAAATGCCCAGTCTAGGCTTCAAGTGTGGCTGGACCCAGAGACCCACATGCTGTCATCAGGCCTAGCTCTTTCTCCCTGTCCTTTCTTTCCTGTAGTTTTCAGCCTGAGGCAGCTGTCCTCACGTAGCAATCCTTGGTCACACCAGGTTTTGGTCTGAGCAGCTAAGCACACTTGGAGGTGGAGGCAGGAAAGCTCTTCCTTCCCACAGCATTCATCAAGGTCTCAGGGCTCACGTGCCTTTGTTCTGATTGACTCAGCTTGGGTCACATGCCCATCACTTCGGTATGCCAGGTTCAAGGCATGGGCTCCAGCCTGGCTTCCTTTCTACCCAGACTGCATGGAAAACAGTAAGGGAGGAAGAATCCCCAAGGGAAAACTTAAGAGCTGTTTCCAGAAGACAGGGATGTGGCTGGGCAGGCAGAAGCAACCCTGCCATCAGGCCAGCAGCCTTTCATACTGACATCCTGTGACTTGCAGCCTTATAAATACTTCTGAGAACTTGGCAAGAATCTCTGTCATCTATTTCAATTCATCAAACTCATCTATTTAGCACCGAATATGCACATTCATGCCCTGCTGTGGCTCTGTCTGTCTCCTGAGCACTGCAGATCTTTTTATTTTTTGAGTCAGGGTCTCACTTTGTTGCCCAGACTGGAGTGCAGTGCCATGATCATGGCTCACCACAGCCTTGACCTCCTGGGTCATCCTTCTACCTCAGCGTCCCAAGTAACTGGGACTACAAGTGTGTACCACCACACCAAACTCATTTTTTATTTTTTTATAGAGACGAGGTCTCACTAATTGCCCAGGCTGGTCTCAAACTCCTGGCCTCAAGCAGTCCTCCTGCCTTGGCCTCCCAAAGTGGTGGGATTGTAGTCATGAGCCACCACTCCCAGCATATCTTTTGGTAAACAAGACAATCTACTCTGCGGACTTACAGACTACCAGAAAATATATATGTTAAAACATACATGCACATGTCACAGAGTGATGCAGCAGATACGGTTGACCTGTCACAAGGAGACCTTGCCTGGCATGGGGACCAGGCAGTAGTGCCCTGAGAAGGCTCCCTCTAGGCTGTGTCCTGGGAGTTGAGGATGGGTAAGTCAGACAGAGTATGAGGGGGACCCCCAAAAAACCAGAATTATCTTTTATTTTTTGGACGGCAGACCCCTTGTAGTACCCTCAGAATTTGTTCCTCTGGATCAGTCAACCAAAGTTTTTTTGTTGCTGAATCAGAGTCTCACTCTGTCACCCAGACTGGAGTGCAGTGGCATGCTCACAGCTACCACAGCCTTGACCTTCTGGGCTCAGGTAATCCTTCTGCCTCAACCATCCAAGTATCTGGGACTAGAGGCACGCACCATCATGCCCAGCTAATGTTTTTTATTTTTTGTAGAGATGAGGTCTCACCAAGTTGCCTAGGCTGGTCTCGAACCCCCGGACTCAGGCAATCCTTGCCTCCACCTCCCAAAGTGCTGGGAGTACTGGTGTGAGCCTATACTAGCCAACCAAAGTTTTTATCTGGAAGTTTGGAGAAGGTTGTGTCACAGTTTACAGATAAAACGTCCTGAGTTGTGACAAACAGGTGACTGGTTCTTCCACCATGACAATGCACCTGCCCGTACTGTGCTGAGTGTTCAGCAATTATTTTTTCTTTTTTTTTTTTTGGGTTGGAGTCCCACTCTGTCACCTAGGTTGGAGTGCAGTGACATGCTCACAGCCACCACAGCCTTGACCTGCTGGGCTCAAGTGATCCTTCTGCCTCAGCCTTCCAGTTAGCCAGATCTACAGGCACACACCACCACGTCCAGCTAATGTTTTTTATTTATTGTAGAGATGAGGTCTCACCGAGTTTCCCAGGCTGGTCTCTAACCTGTCGGCTCAGACAATCCTCTTACCTTGGCCTCCCAAAGTGCCGGGATTATAGGTGTGAGCCACCACGCCTAGCCTGTGTTCAGCAATTTTTGACCAAAAACAGCATGGCCCCCATGCCCCATCCTACCTATTTACCCAATCTCACTCCAGAAACTTTTTTTACCCCCTCTAGATGAAAAAAAGTACTCAAAGGGAAATGTTTTGCCCATGTGGAAGAGTTAAAACAAAAAAATGGCAGAAGCACTAAAAGGCATCCAAATGAGTTCAAAAACTGTTTTGAGCAGTGAAAAAAGCATCTCAGCCGGGCTCGGTGGCTCAGCCTGTAATCCCATGCCTTTGGGAGGCTGAGGTGAGTGGATTGCTTGAGCGACCCGCCTGGGCAGCGAGACCTCATCTCTACAATAAATCAAAAAAAATCAGCTGGATGTGGTAGCACAGGCCTGTAATTCCGGCTACTCGGAAGGCTGAGGCGGAAGGATCGCTAGAGCACAGCAGGCGAGGCTGCAGTGGCCGGAAGCGGCCACTGCACTCCAGTCTGGGCAACCGAGTAAGACTCCAACTCAAAAAAAAAAAAAAAGAAAAAAGCATCTCACTGGGTATATTGCATCAAATGGAGAGAATTTTGAAGGTGACTGAGGTTTAAACATGTAAGAACAAATGCAATTTTTACAAATAAATTCCAGGGGTTTTTTTGGGTCCCCCCTCATACGTCTCAGGCACCAGGGACAGAAGACAAAGTCTTGCAGCCCAGGCAGCCATGCTCTTCAGGGTACTGGGAAAAAACCTGAGCCCAGCGCTCAGGAATTGCTATCAGCAGCACCACCTGTCCTGCCTCTGAACTACATCTCTTCTTGTTTCAGGACTGTGCCTCAGCGGATGTGGAGCCATTTTTGGAAAGTGTCAACACAGGGGCTTTTTGTGGCCATGTTCTGGCCCCTCATTCCTCAGTTTATTTGCAACTGTTTGTTTTACTGGGCCCTGTACTTCAACCCAATCATTAACATTGATCTTGTGGTCAAGGAGGTCCGCCGGCTGGAGACCCAAGTGTTGTGACTGGCACTGCCCACGCCCTGAGAGCATCTTCAAACCTCCCTGGCATCTGAGCTTTGATGCTGAAGAGGGATGAGGTGGGGAGAGGACTTCCTATTTTAAAACAAGGTGCTGCCTTATATGTCAGAGGCTCCAACCAGTTCCTCTCCCCTCGGCCTGTGGCGTCCTGGCAGTAGACTGAGTTCCAGTGTGGGGAGGACCGTCTGTTTGGCCAACACAGCAGCACCTCTCCCAGCCAGCCACCTTCCCCACATAGCCTTGGGAGGCTCAGTCCATCATGATTCCAGGGTCTCAGAGGACATAGCGTGTTGTCATCAGAAGGTTACTACATCAGCAGTCCCCTTCCCCAACCTCAGTGACTAACAGAGGCTCCCAGAGTCCAAGACCAGGCTTGTGGGGGCCAGGCCCATCCTATAAGTCAAGTTTAGGAAAACAAGGATAAGACTGTCATAGGCATAGACAGTTGCACATAAAAAATACAGAGGAAAACCCCAAACTTAGTCAATGATTCTGTCCTGTTGAAGAGTTGCTAGGTTTCAGAGTAAAACCTAAAAGGATCCAGTTTGAGACTAGAATGGTTAGACTTGTAGTTATGGGGTTGTTTTTTGGGGTAATCATTGAAAGCCTGGATTCCTGTCTCCAAGAGGGGTACCAAGTGGAACATCAGGCAGTTCCTAGAGGGAATTCCTCTCAGGCTGAGCTGCCTCCAGGCTAATTAAAATAGTTGTTTTGGGTTTGTTTTTGTTTTGTTTTTAAGAATTTAGTCTATAAATTAAATTTCAGGATGGTCCTTTTGTTCAAGGCAACATTCTGTAAGTTGACCTCACACTGTATAATCTCTATCATCCTGTTCTGATACATAACACAGCAAGTATAATTACACAAAGTGCTATAATTGTAAATATGGAATGAGATGAACGATGGTGTTTTATTTCCATCCAGTGTACAAACAACAGGTATGAATATAATCTCCCTGCAGACTTAGCCTTGAAGAGATAAGCTTGCATCCAAAGGGTTCCTTAGGACTCCATGAACCATTCACTTGTTAACCATTTTTATCTTTGAGTGAAGATTTTACTCAAACTTTGTATCTGAAAGTTTGAAGAAATTACTTGAAATTAAAATAAAGATTTTTATATAGGTAAAACCTCTTCCCAGAGATGAACTGATTGTTTAGAAAACATGAGGCCAGGCTCAGTGACTCAGCCTGTAATCCTAGCACTTTGGGAGACTGAGGCAAGTGGATTGCCTGAACCCGTGGGTTCGAGACCAGCCCAGGCAACTTGGAGAGACCTCGTCTCTACAATAAATAAAACTAGCCAAGCGTGGTAGTGCACGCCTGTAGTTCTGGCTACTTGGAAGACTGAGGCGGAAGGATCGTCAGAGCCCAGCAGGTCAATACCAGGGTGGTTGTGAGTGTGCCATTGCACTCCAGCCTGGGCGATGGAGTGAGACTCCAACTCAAAAAAAAGAAAAAGAACATGAACAAAATCTGTATTGCCTGCTAGAATCTAGTAGTCATGCTTAAATCCCCCAACCTGGTCTAACCCCTGGCTGGAGACCCCCTAAGTTACCTTCAGTGAAAGAAGGGAGAATGTTTTCCTTCCTCATTGGGCTGGCTCTTCAGGCCCCAGGGCTGCCTGCCTTTCCCTGTTTATGACCTGTCATAAACACTGAAGCGTCTGTGGGCCTGAGGACTTGGTGGTTTGTGTACATTCCTGGCCCTGAGCCTGGTGAGGTTGCCCATATTCTTTCTGGATGAAGAAATGAGGCTCCTGGCAAAGGTCACTGGACTGGTGCTGACTGGCTGCCCACCCCCACTCTGTGACCTCCTTCACTGCCCCACCCACTCCCACATCCTGCTTCCAACATGAGAAATACCCAGACTTGCTGGAGGAAGGAGGCTTGACCTGGGCAAATAGGTGGGGCTGGACTCATGCCTTATCTATCACCAGCAGGAGGGCCAGGCAAACTTAGATCAAGGGCCACAGGACGCCTCTCGTGCCCTCAGACCCTCTCACGAATCGTAGCAGGTGAGAGCACCAAATGGGGTTGTCTTTTGAAAATACTCAAACCCTAGCCAGGCATGGTAGCTCATGCCTGTAATCCCAGCACTTTGGGAGGCAGAGGCGAGAGGACTGACTAAGCCCAGGGTTTCAAGACCTCATCCCTACAATAAATAAAAAATTAGCCAGGTGTGGCACATGCCTGTGGTTCCAGCTACTTGGAAGGCTGAGGCGGAAGGATCATCTGAGCCCAGCAGGTTGGGGCTGTGGTGACTGAGTGTGCCACCTGTACTCTCTCTCTCTCTCCCTCTCCCTCTCCCTCTCTCTCTCTCTTCCTCTCTCTCTCTCTCTCTCTCTCTCTCTCTCTCTCTCTCTCTCTCTCTCTCTCTCTCTCAC